ACTGATGGCATAATTTGCCCTTGACCTTGGCTCTTGGTGCTTGGTAGAACACTGAGGAGAGAGCTTTTTTTGCATACTTGGGAGACTACCAAAAACATTAATTTTAAAACTGGACTAGAGTAATTACCATTACATTCATGTTAGAGGTTAACATTTGTGTTATTTCCTCTTATTGCCTGGCTTTACAGAATGTTATGCCCCACTGCTTTTATTAAATCCAGGTAATAGAGGAAATAACAGTGTTATTAACCTCTAACACTGATGAAAAATTAGTCTTAAGTAAAACATGGTTTGAAATCAGAGCAATTGTGTTAGTCCTCTAGCTGGTTCTTCCGTGAAACACAGTAAGGCTTTGTGTACTCATTGCGTGCATATTTATTATAAAAGTAAAAACAAAGTATAATATGAAATACATCTCTGGGGAAATAGTGATTAGATTTTAGTACAATAGTGATTAGATTTTAGTATATACTGTACCCTTACTAATAAGTGTTATAGGTCTGCATGAAATTGCACAAATAAGTACTACTTTTAAAAAGTACCACTTTTCTATGATTGGAATTCATTTCAAAACAACTGCTTTTGCAGAAAAGCACCTAGAAATTTAATATATAATTATTGACACTTTTAAAGTCTCCATTGGTATGCTTCTAAACAAATATTTTAAAGTTAGGTATTACAGTAGGAAATTTCTCTTTTCCATGCTTGTTGGCATTTAAAAACATTAATTTTTAGAGTGATTTTTGATAATAAAACAATGAGGTATCTTGCATCTCTGGTTGTAAAATATATATACATGGTTTTGTGATATATTTCCATACAAAGTAACTGTCTGGATTTTACTATTTTTAGAGAAGGATGGAAATAGAGACTTAAAAAGTTAAAGTAATAAAGTAGGAAAATGTTCTTTGTGGAAGGGTTGGACATCACAGTCTACTGACTAGTTATTACTCTAAGTGTAATTTATATGTTTGGATTCATAAATATTTTAATTAACATTAAAGCAAAACATCTACTCTATTAGGTAAAGCTTGTATGTATCTACCTAAGTAACTATAAAGAATTTTTTTGGTTGTTTGTTTGATTTTTCAGTATATCTTTCTGCCTAACTTTTATTAGTGAATTACCAAATTATTTGCAGGTTATTTTTCTCCTGTAAGCATACTGTTTCTAAACTACTCAGTGTATTTGTTACCATGATTTTAAAAGTAATGAAGTATTTAGGATATTTCTTTTTAATCTATTATTCTTTGTTTAAATATAGAATTAGCATAACTGATCAGAACAGGTATCATTATTGAGAGATAATATTTTGCTTTATGTATTTATTCAAAGGGTTATGTGGGAGAACATTAATCAATTTGTGGGCTTTTCTGTGAATTGAATGAAACCATATATGAAAGTGTTTTGTAACTATGAAAATATACAATAATATTATTCTCATGACTTAACAGTGGAAAATATATATAAACATCATAGTAATCATAGCATTTCTGTAGGGTATATTTGTCTAATAGAAAATAATAAAGAAGAGTAAGTGCTGTAATCCTTAATCTTTAGGTAAATATACATTCAAGCTTCATGAACAGTCCTATGTAAAGGCTCAGCAACCCATTTACCTTTTAAATTAACAACCACTTCAATGGTTAATTGAGTATCTCTAAGCCAATAAATTACCCTTCAACATTACTGACTGGAAGCTTAGTATCCAAAACAAGCCTGCCATTAAGGAACTCATTCTTCAACAAAAGGAAAAGGAGGCATCAAATTTGAGCTGTGGATGTGTTTGGTTCTCTTACTCTAAGCACATTAGTACACTGTGTTTTCTCACTCAGAGAAGCTTTTGTACCCTGAGCATGTGGCTATTTAAATGCCCCAGCGGGGCATCCAGAGGCTGCGAAAAAAGGAAAAATTATTTGGAACAATTTGCATTCGTTCAAGGGCAACGTTAAGCATTTTACAGCTGGTTTATTGCTATTCTTGTGCTGTTTAAGCTGTCTTTCATGTGAAAAGTCCTTTCCTGCTTACCGATCACCAGGAAGCATTCTGTCGTGTGCTGTAGGCCCAAGTTCCTCCAGGGCTCCGGGCCTTTGATCACGGATACCGTTTGCAGTCAGGAGGCTGATGAGATAAGCCTGGGTCCGAACTGAGGAAAGGCCCTTTCCTTTTAATTATTCAACTTTGTTTTCTTGTTTTTTAGTACGGGATATGCACGATTCCAGCGCAGAGTAACAGTGTTCAGGAATTAGAGCACACTTAGAGGTGTAAGAACTTTAAAGGTCAAGAAAATAGGTTAAAGATCTCAACTTCATGAAACCAGGCTCACCATTTCAGTAAGTTAAAGTTTTAAGAGAAGTGAGTATGTAATTTTCTTTGTGTACATAACACAAGCAATTTTATTGTCACATAATTACATTTGTGATGCTAATTAGAATTTTCTTTTAAAGAACAAGTTACCATTGCAGTTCCTACCCTACTTGCCAATTATCAAAAGACTAGATAAATTCAGTGCTTAGGCTTCAACCCTCACAATCTAGGTAACAGGATGCTGATCAGGAATTAGATTTCTGATAGATGATGAAAGCTGTATGGTATGGCTGGGTTAGTTCAGACTGAACTAAGATCTTTCCTTCCTGGTTCCACTATGGCATGAAGAGCAATCAGTAAATATTTTTGGGTGTCCACTAAGTGTGCATGCTTTAAAGAATATAAGAAATGGATGAGAACAATGAATCTGTTATTAAGAAAGGATTCTAACAAACTCTAGGTCATCAACAGTTTGGAGATCCATTCTTGCTTTTGTAAACTGAATATGAAAAGAAGACAGGAAATAATAGATGGGTGAAATTTGTAATGACTGGTGGTGTTTGAAAGAAGAAAGCTTGAAACATTTTTACTTTGGTGGACCTACAAAAAGCTGAAGGGCCTAACAGAATTGCAAAAATCAAATGTGGAATCTGGATTTCAGTAAACACACTGCAGTACTTAAGAATCTGAGATAATTAATAAAGTTAATCTTAAACTTGCTGACGACAGTTTCTAAGGAGGTTGCTGACATGACTTGGTGCTATGGAAGACAAAGTTGACATGTAATCAAACAAGTTAATTCTACCTGCCAAAACATTAGGAAAGTATGTTTACAGAATAGAAATAATTACTAATGTATATATAAAAATACTTAGTAAATACTAACATATGTATATAAATACCCACAATGGGTTCTCACAAAGAATGGAAGCAAGCTAAACAATTTTGTAAGTGCCCCTTTAAAAGTACTGGTTAGATATAGATGAAACTGTTTGCCTGCTTCTCTTTCTTATGTATTTAATTTGGATATTTATTCTATTATGTAACTTGATTTTATACTTGACATATGGGAAGGTAGATCAACTTTTCTGTATTGCAACTTTTTTTTGTTAACATTTTCAACCTGTAATTTCAGTTTAGCTGATTTATAATTATATAGTTTTACTGCTTTATTGCAGTGTTTTGTTTCTAATACAGTGTGCTTCTGCATTAAAAGGTGATATGGTGCACAAATGTTGTTAAGCATATAAACTGATGGCATAATTTGCCCTTGACCTTGGCTCTTGGTTCTTGGTAGAACACTGAGGAGAGAGCTTTTTTTGCATACTTGGGAGACTACCAAAAACATTAATTTTAAAACTGGACTAGAGTAATTACCATTACATTCATGTTAGAGGTTAACATTTGTGTTATTTCCTCTTATTGCCTGGCTTTACAGAATGTTATGCCCCACTGCTTTTATTAAATCCAGGTAATAGAGGAAATAACAGTGTTATTAACCTCTAACACTGATGAAAAATTAGTCTTAAGTAAAACATGGTTTGAAATCAGAGCAATTGTGTTAGTCCTCTAGCTGGTTCTTCCGTGAAACACAGTAAGGCTTTGTGTACTCATTGCGTGCATATTTATTATAAAAGTAAAAACAAAGTATAATATGAAATACATCTCTGGGGAAATAGTGATTAGATTTTAGTACAATAGTGATTAGATTTTAGTATATACTGTACCCTTACTAATAAGTGTTATAGGTCTGCATGAAATTGCACAAATAAGTACTACTTTTAAAAAGTACCACTTTTCTATGACTGGAATTCATTTCAAAACAACTACTTTTGCAGAAAAGCACCTAGAAATTTAATATATAATTATTGACACTTTTAAAGTCTCCATTGGTATGCTTCTAAACAAATATTTTAAAGTTAGGTATTACAGTAGGAAATTTCTCTTTTCCATGCTTGTTGGCATTTAAAAACATTAATTTTTAGAGTGATTTTTGATAATAAAACAATGAGGTATCTTGCATCTCTGGTTGTAAAATATATATACATGGTTTTGTGATATATTTCCATACAAAGTAACTGTCTGGATTTTACTATTTTTAGAGAAGGATGGAAATAGAGACTTAAAAAGTTAAAGTAATAATTTATTGTAGGAAAATATTCTTTGTGGAAGGGTTGGACATCACAGTCTACTGACTAGTTATTACTCTAAGTGTAATTTATATGTTTGGATTCATAAATATTTTAATTAACATTAAAGCAAAACATCTACTCTATTAGGTAAAGCTTGTATGTATCTACCTAAGTAACTATAAAGAATTTTTTTGGTTGTTTGTTTGATTTTTCAGTATATCTTTCTGCCTAACTTTTATTAGTGAATTACCAAATTATTTGCAGGTTATTTTTCTCCTGTAAGCATACTGTTTCTAAACTACTCAGTGTATTTGTTACCATGATTTTAAAAGTAATGAAGTATTTAGGATATTTCTTTTTAATCTATTATTCTTTGTTTAAATATAGAATTAGCATAACTGATCAGAACAGGTATCATTATTGAGAGATAATATTTTGCTTTATGTATTTATTCAAAGGGTTATGTGGGAGAACATTAATCAATTTGTGGGCTTTTCTGTGAATTGAATGAAACCATGTATGAAAGTGTTTTGTAACTATGAAAATATACAATAATATTATTCTCATGACTTAACAGTGGAAAATATATATAAACATCATAGTAATCATAGCATTTCTGTAGGGTATATTTGTCTAATAGAAAATAATAAAGAAGAGTAAGTGCTGTAATCCTTAATCTTTAGGTAAATATACATTCAAGCTTCATGAACAGTCCTATGTAAAGGCTCAGCAACCCATTTACCTTTTAAATTAACAACCACTTCAATGGTTAATTGAGTATCTCTAAGCCAATAAATTACCCTTCAACATTACTGACTGGAAGCTTAGTATCCAAAACAAGCCTGCCATTAAGGAACTCATTCTTCAACAAAAGGAAAAGGAGGCATCAAATTTGAGCTGTGGATGTGTTTGGTTCTCTTACTCTAAGCACATTAGTACACTGTGTTTTCTCACTCAGAGAAGCTTTTGTACCCTGAGCATGTGGCTATTTAAATGCCCCAGCGGGGCATCCAGAGGCTGCGAAAAAAGGAAAAATTATTTGGAACAATTTGCATTCGTTCAAGGGCAACGTTAAGCATTTTACAGCTGGTTTATTGCTATTCTTGTGCTGTTTAAGCTGTCTTTCATGTGAAAAGTCCTTTCCTGCTTACCGATCACCAGGAAGCATTCTGTCGTGTGCTGTAGGCCCAAGTTCCTCCAGGGCTCCGGGCCTTTGATCACGGATACCGTTTGCAGTCAGGAGGCTGATGAGATAAGCCTGGGTCCGAACTGAGGAAAGGCCCTTTCCTTTTAATTATTCAACTTTGTTTTCTTGTTTTTTAGTACGGGATATGCACGATTCCAGCGCAGAGTAACAGTGTTCAGGAATTAGAGCACACTTAGAGGTGTAAGAACTTTAAAGGTCAAGAAAATAGGTTAAAGATCTCAACTTCATGAAACCAGGCTCACCATTTCAGTAAGTTAAAGTTTTAAGAGAAGTGAGTATGTAATTTTCTTTGTGTACATAACACAAGCAATTTCTGCTTTTCTTACACAGAAGATACTTGTTGCAGTTTCCTGGCTTCTCCTCCCAAGAATGGGTCTTAAACTTGGGGAATATCTTTTTAGGGGGTGAAAAATTATGATGATTGTTGTTAGCAAACCCAACATAATAGAATAATAATATATTGAAATTGCAATTTGATAATAATGATCATTATAAGGATAAAGCCAGAATAAAAATGACTCATACTTTCATTTTTTATATTACTTATCATTTATCAGTACCCTCACTTATCAACTTACTGAAAACACAAGCATGAGGATTTATTACATACAGTTTTTTGTTTCATTTCTTTTAGAATTTTCATTAACATCATTTTATCATTTTTATGATGTGGAGAGTTGGTGACTTTCATAATTGTTTAAGCAACAGATCAAATATGCCACAAGCCATGAAATTAGAGACTTATTTAAAAATAAAACATCTAGATGGTAAAAGTACAATAACTTTGAATACTGGAATGTCAATATGATACTTAGTGTGGAATATTTAGTATGAAATGAAATGTACTAGAAGGGGTCCTGGAAGTTTAATGAATTTCTCTGCCAACAGGCAGGGCGATTTATTTGTCAATTTACCCAAATAAAGATCTGTGCAAAACCAAATCCTGTAATGTAAAAACACAATATGATAGTGCCATCAAAGAGGCTAAAAAGATGTTTAATGCACATCCATTCTTGGCAGTTTGTGAGCCTGTGTATAATTTTGGAGGCTCAAAGAGGAACCATCAGAGAAAGGAATCATTTATTGTGGGAACAGATTTGAAGAGGGGGGGTGGAGGTGAGATTTAAGGTGCAGACATTAGTCTGTAAGAATTTCAGGATAAATGAGATTTTGGAGTGTTCCCGAGGCTGCGAGTGATCTGGCTCCGCCTGGCTGGAGTGCCCTGTGCTGGGAAGCGCGGTGGCAGTGGGGGTGGGGGGCCATTTACAGAGCTAGACAGGGGTCAGGCCATGGAGGACATGTGTACTGTGTACACTGAGTTATATCAATATTTTTTCTTTAACCATGTGTAATGACTTTTGCTGCAGGGTTTGCTGTCTGAATTCACAGTTTAAAAAATTCCTACTTGCCTAACTTCCAAAATAAAGCAGGAGACTTTGGAAGTTGTTCTTGTGTTTGTGTTTAAATATCACCAAGTGTGAGAACTTACACTCGGGCAGACACAATATTGTGGTTAAATCTGACTAAGATTTATATTACAAAACAAATATTTTTATCTGTATCTTAAGGATGGAGGCAGTCCTCTCAGAAAGGGGTCCTTCTTGGAGAAAGTCCAACTCAGCGGTCTTTCCTCCAGGGGTGTGATTGTCGCTGCTTTGAGTCCCTTGACCTGCAGTATAGTCACTTAGTCTTTCTGCAGTGTCCTAAAATAGGCATTTCATATCTCTGTCTAACTGTAGTAATGGACTTATGCTGACCAGGGAAAAGGAACAGGATTTCACTGAAAAGATGGAGTATACATTTGTGCTAATGTCTGGAAAATCAACATGCTCTTAATGTTTTAAAGGACTGTAAGAGGAACCAATGAAATTTTTGCAATACCCTTTTATGCTATATTCTGGTAAAGTCATTTGGCCCCTAAGCTTCAAAAGGTTATAAGTGACTGACCCAATCACACATGGTTTGGGAATTTATTTATTAATTAAAAAATTGTTATTGTTCAGGCAATAACATTAGGGTACTAAATTCAACTGTTTTATTGAGTGTGATTGTTTTAAATTTGCTAGTTTTATAGCTTCTGAACTGAAAATTATTAAAAATGAGCACTAAAGGCCATTTTAAATAAAAAAAACTACCTATGTTGCTCAACTATGTTTTTCATCTACATGTCTAGCAAATAGCTTTTATGTAACTTTGAATCTGCTTTGAGAGTTTTGGGACAAGTATAATTGCACTAAATCGGATATTTGCCGTGTACTCGAGGTGGCCACTGAGTGGTAATTTTGTTGGTCTGGGGAGTCACTTCTAATAACAAGGAAGCTGGAAGGAAAGTAGGAGGAGGGGTGGGAAAGGTAAGGCCTGACTCTACCGTGTGATTAAACAGCAGAGAAAAGCATTCTGTGGATACAGTTCTGCTTCTCCTATTTTTCCATTTTTGTCCCCCAGCTTTGCTTTCCTTTTCCCTTGTTCTCCTTTGCTGTAAAAATTTATTTATTGCTTGTTTTAGAGTTCAATAAGCAACACACACACAATTTTACTTAATGGAATAGCTTATTACCTTTTCTAATGGCTCATTTATGAAGGAAAATTTACTCCAAAGAGGTCCATTATATAGATACATCAGGAATTTGTGATATCTTAGGTGGTGCTTTGCCAAAGAAAAGAAAGATATTAACTATCATTACCACAGTATCTCTACATACTAAACAGGTTCTGTTAAATGAGTGAATCTTCCTAAAAAAAGAAAGGCATCAAGGAATCCTGGAAGTGGCTACTGTATTGGACCCCACCATTGTAAAATAATAATCTACAAATATTTATTTTGGTTTAATCATCTTGCCTCTTAGATTTCCTCTTCTTTTAGAATGTTCTTTGTCTTAATGGCATGGTATTTGAATTCTCAGATTTTAATATAGTATATTTCTGGGGAGTGGAGAGGTGTGGAGAAGCTCAAAAACTTCTAATAAGAAGCTCTATGAAAGAGTTATGGGAGAGACTATAGGAAGGTGAGCTCACATTTAGAAGATGAAGAACTTTCCTGCTGGAATTGGTAGGTCTCTCAGACATTTGAGTGAGAGTTCCGTGGAACAATTTATGAAGACACTGCCAGAGATCTAGACCAAAAGGGCTTGAAATACTGTAGGGGAATAGGAAAACATCATACAAACTTCTGGAATATTGATCCTCTATGACTTTGAGGGGTAGGATCTCAGACTCAAATACTAAAATTTACGAGTACACAGTCCCTAGAATAGGCAGCATTCAGACAGTTCTCTGAGGGAATAGTCACTGTGGCATTCCCAAGTCATATCCCTTTAAAAACAAAAATACTGAATCTCAGATGACTCAGTCTTGAGGGAAGAATATGTATGCAGAACTTTCCCCAGGGAAAAAAGTACCTAGAAGTTCCTGTGTCAGAACAATTTCCTTGGAAATAGCTATTTGAGAGGTACTAAGAAACAGAAACCTTCTGGGCCTGGAGACTTTGCAGTTATAAATCACAAGATGTCAGTCAGAAGTATCCCATGAGTAAAACAGCTATAAATATTCAACATATAAAATTCCTAGACATAAGGCATCCACAGATATTGGAGAATTCATGTATGAGAGAAACCTTATAGGTGTGAAAGGTAAGAGACTAAGGTGAAGTTCAGATATTGTAAATCATCCCAGTTGACCCACAGAAGAAACCCTATATCTGTGAGGGATTGTATTAAGGACATAAAAATGCAAAGATTTTTGTTTGCTAGTTAAAAATTTACTTGCTTTATGATTTAAGGAAAGGCTTTGACATGTTAATTTATCTGACAAGAGGACGTGTCAGTTCTGAGGGTGGTGGATTGGTGGACATGGGGGCATGGTAGATTGGCAGTTTCTATAGAGAGCATAGAGCACAAGGGGAATGCTTCCCACCAGGGGCATATCATGTTCATGGGAAGATATGCATGTTGTCACTAAAGTAAAAATCATGTAACTAACTCTGTTAAATCACGTTCTAGGATCACCTTCAGATTATCATCTGACTTCTATGCATTTGCTAATTAGAAAAGAAAAACTGCAGAAGACGTAAGTATCTCGTCTTTTGGCAATTATATTTTTAATTATACATTACTCCAGTAAGAAGTACAGATTAAATATTCAAGTGTCTTGTGAATTATATCAGTTGGGGGTTTTATTCTTTAGTTAAAGTAATTTTGGACACTGGCATGATCACTGCACACAATGTTATGAACTAGATTTAGGGTTTTGATGATTACCCTGTGAAACTTCACCTAGGGCTAACTGACATATTTTTGCAAGTTGTAAAGTGTTGCTGCCCTGACTACACATAGCCTTGCACCAGAGAAGAGGGCTTGCTGTGTGAAGAATGGATAGGATCACACCTCCTATTTTCCTTTTAATTGGTGCCCTTGTTCAATGGCCCTGATTGAACCAACTTTCCTTAGCAAGCCTGATGACATTCTACCTGGTTTTGCTTGTATTTTTAGAAAGCATACTGTGTGTGTCTTTTGGATTCATATTCAGCACACTAAAATGATACTTTAGGGGTGATTCTTTTCATTTGGGAAATTTATTTGCATTACAATTGGGTGTAAAACTATTTAAATATTTTCTCCTACTATTTAATTTACAAAACCGTTTAGGAATGCATCTAATAGCTAAAATACATTTTACTTTAAAAGTGTCTGTTAAGTCCCTCAAGAAGTAATATAGTTGATCTGTCTTTGCTACATCGTTCTGTCCACCTTAGCAGAATGTTTTTTCCTTTTAGATTTAGGAAGTTTTGAACTCACATAAACACAGACATTTCTAGCATATCATAGTATTGTTCTAACTACTCATTTCCTCTGTATCCCTAGAGTATAGCGCAGTCTTGTCCCATTGATTTGAGGTTTGGCCATATGATTTTTTCTTTATTTAAAAAGACTTAAGATACTACACTTATTTTTTCCCCCACAGGGAGGTCTGCTCTCCATGGTGTCTCCCCCTCACCGTTCCAGGGAGTACAGCAGTTACCATAGAGATTTTCCCTATGTCTAAAGACTATTGGAATCTAGGTTTTTCTGTAAGGGAATAATAATAAATACCTTCTGTGTAGCAGCCTGGCTTTCTAATAGGTACAAGAGATGTATCAGGCCACAATCCTTGTATAATTTCCTTGAATATGGGGAAGAAAGATGAGCTACATAAGGTTTTTATCACAGGCTCTGGTGTCTCTGTAACTCCCTGGCCTATTGGTTTCATCTTCCCCTTACTATGTAGTCTCCATTGGATTATCCCGATGCTCTCTGAAAACAAACAAAAGCAATTTTTTTCTATTTCTCGTAAAGGAGCAGAAAGATTCTATAGACATCTCTACTACAGACTCCTTTTCTCTTTGGTCCCAAGCAAAGGAATGGGAAAATTTCTTTATTAATTATAATATAGAATTATGTGACCATATAAAACAATTTTGTGTGATCCAGCAATTCTTTTTCTGGGTATATGCCTAAAAGATTTGAAAGCAGGGACTCAAAGAAATACTTGCACACCGTTGTTCATAGAGCAACATCATTCACAATGGCCAGAAGATGGAAGCAACCTAAGTGTCCATTGATAGATGTGTGGGTAAACAAAATATTGTATAGACATTGAATGGAATATCACTCAACCTTAAAAAGGAATGAAATTCCGACACATGCTAAAATGAGTATGAAAGTTGAGCAGATTATGCTAAGTGAAATAAGCCTACCACAGCAGGAAAAATACTGAGTCCTTATGTGAGGTACTTGGAGTAATCAAATTCATAGTGACAGGAAGTAGAAGGGTGGTTGTGATGGGCTGGGAGGGAGACCGGAATGAGGAGTTATTGTTTAATGGGTACAGATTTTCAGTTTTTCAAGATGACAAGAGTTGTGTGGATGGATGGCATTAATGGTAGCAGAGCAAATGCATGCAGTTAATGCCGCCTAATGGCAACTTAAATGTGGTTAAGATGATACATTTTATGTTACGTGCATTTTACTGCTATTAAAAATTTTAGATTTCCCTCTAACATGTGAAACTAATTATAGGTTGCCTACTGTGTGCTAAAGGTCGAACTAGGTACTTTACATACATTATTCCTGATGGATATTATTTTTCTCATTTTACAAGTGAGGAAACAGAAGTTCATAGGAGTTAAAATAATTTCAAGAGGTTATGCAATTAAGCAGCAGAAATGCAATCTGAATTCACATCTGTGTACTCTCTGCATTGCCCCACAGTTCTGCTCCCCATGTGGAACATAGTTGCGCAGACACACATACTCTTCCATATTTTCATCTTGGCATATAATATATATTATTCCTTAGCTTAAGTTAATTGTGTTAATTGCTATACATACAAATGTTGAGGTTAACCACTTAATTAATATTGCAAAATTAATCCACATAATCACGTGGCATGGTCTGACTCTCACTGCCAAATGAATCTGAGAGGAAGAGCTGCCTCAATACAAACAGCTTTATTGGTTGCCTCAGGAAGCAAGGAATTAGACTGATTGCTTAGGCTTCAGGCTTTGTAATTACAACCTGGCATTTTAGTAATGGCAATTTAAAATTTCAGTTCCAAAAGGCTTAAGACCAAGTCTATCATCTCACAACTTTTTCTCCCACGTTTTTGGGAAAAGAATGAATTACTTTAAAATGTATCTTGGGGAACTGCTAGAAGGTTTTCTAAGCGTTTTTGTGTCTCTAAATGAACTTAATATGTGTTCATTGTGTAACCAGAACAGTCTGTCTGGTAGAGGAAGAATTTGGGTCCCTGGTAAACAAAATGGTCTCAGCCTTGCTGGAGCATGTCTTTCCTAAGTAGTGGGCACAGAAGCAGGATAATTGGCTACCTCCTGGTTGCAAATATAGGTATGTTAACGGTGGGCCTGAGGGGAACCTCCATTTTGGGTTGTAGTTTATTATTAGGTGAGGAAATTACTGGACACCTCCAGCTGCCATTAATCAGCCGCAGAGTCAGACTGGAGCCAAGGGAGAAGCCTGTGGGTGGATTCTGCCGGGTACTGTGGAAATACAAGAAGACAGAGACAAATGTTTTCCAGCCTAGCAGCACTAAACTCTGCCCTTTCACAGTCCTTAACATGCGTGTTCAAATTGATTTAGTCCATTTACCCCCAACCTAACCATCTATTTTCCTTGAAGACTGACAGTTTTATGTGTCGCTACCATGTTATTTTCTGTTGCTCCTCTGCCAGTAGCTATAGTGTTTCAGAAACATTTACTTCCAGACGTAAAGGATGAATGAGGATGGGGGTGTAGAGAAAGGGAGGTGAGGTTGCATTATTTTAACTCCTTTTTTCTATGCGGTGCAAAACATGCCCATCATGGCACCAACTTTCTCCCTCCCTCTCTCTTCTTTATTCCTTTTCTGTGTCAATGACTTCCATAAAAAAGCCTTGAATAAAATTTCCCACTTGAGAAACACATCTGTCAGGTGATGTCAACGCCTGGCTTACTCCTCTTCCTGTTGGGTTGCAAACATGGCTTTCTCTCATGGTCCTGGAATGCTGACACGGCCAAGTGGCAGAAGCCAAACACAGGTAGGGTCAAGGTGAAAACCTCAGTGGGGGCCATCGTCCTCCACTTAGCTTTGGAGGGAATGGGAAGAGTCCAGGAGCAATTTGTTTTCTCTGCTCCTGTGTAAATTCAGAAAAGGGGGATGGTGGAGATAAAAACCAAGACAGCCCCCTGTCAGCTGCAGGGACATCAGTCAAGACATTCCAAGTGCTTGTCCCGTTGGCGGTGCTTGCCTCAGGATGAGCAGGAATTCAGGTCTGACCCTTGCTTTCTTGGAACTGGATGAAAGTGACTTATCTGAACATGTAAGAATATTCTGCCCCTGGAGGCCAAAGACTAAAATTCAGAGTTAAAATAAATACTCAGAGAAGGAAAGGAAACAGAGAGGTCAAAGGTTTCATCAGATAGGAACCTCTAAGATTACTGACTTAACCATACCTTTGTTTTATTCTGTCTGGTTTTCGTGTACTACTCTATGCCACAGAAAACAGAGAGACTCTCTTTTTACTCATCCTGCTTTTGTGTAGAAGGGTAGAAGATGACAATTCCATTGATTTATGTAGACAAATACAAATAAAATAAGCAAAATAAAATAAAATAAGCCATTTTGAAATGTGTAACCGGATATGAGTATTTGCCCCTGTTTCCAGTGCATTAGTATTTGGTGATGTATAGTGGCTGATTCTATAGTCATAACTATTACCCAGTAAGAAAAAAAGGTTTTAAAATAGTACCCTTAGAATGAATGTACTGTTTTCTGATGAAGGATATTCCCAATCTGGGAAGGATATTGAGTGAGACAGATATATGCGTGTATGTGCATGTGTTTAAGGAAAAAAACACTATTACTCTAGCACAGATTAAACTTGGGACTTAGGGCCATAGTCAGCTGGTGACTTTACCTGCAGGTCCTCTCTGCGCTGCTGGAGACCACAGGCAGGATGCCTGCCTGCGTGCTGAGACGGTGTTTGTGGTCACTCTTACATGGTAAGCACTTGGGTGGCAATCCCTTGATTTCCTTGCAGTTCTCAGGGTTTGCATGGCTGGCTGTTCCCAATCAGAGGTCACCTCAGTGGCATATTGAGTTTCTCTGATGCAGGGCACCTGTAGGCCCTCAGAGAAATGAAGCATGTGGTTCCTTTAGCCAGACATCCAGTCTCCATGTGATGACTGTGGAATGACAGAGAAGGCCTTCCTGACATGCGCCAGCTTTTCTTCACCCTTCTGCTCCAGTACTGTCGTGGGCTTGGCCATTGCAGTGCTGGCCCCGCCCTGCCCTGCCAGTCTGAGGATGGCCAGATGAATTACCCACACTACCTTCTGCCCGGACTGAGTTTTCTTTGATGGACTGCCATGCAGATACCACCTGATAACACAAACCTCAGTATGAAGAACTGATAGATCACAAAACTACTGTAGGCAATCTTCACCTACCAGTGAACTTTAAAAGAATTTAAAATCTCTTTTTAATGGGCATGAGAATATAAATATACTAACTACTTAGTCACTGAAAAACTTATCTTTACTGTTTTGTAAATGTGATGAAGGAGCTCTAAAGATCGTATGACCATGGCTCAGAATCCAAAATTGGGATCTACATTGTAAAGCACCAGGACTACCTTTATGGGAACCACAGAACAGACTGTTCAAAATCAAGAATGAGCAGGAATACAGACAATTGGAACAGGTGATTGCCACAGTGATAGCTTAAATAATTAATATTCGTGTCGCTTTTGTCATATTTTATTTGTGTAAATCCTTTCAAATAAAAATGAATCAGTAAGAACACTGCTACTTGAATCATCCAGGAAAATCTCTCAGGAGTCAGAGGAGAATCTAGATAGAGGAAGAATTTATAAAACTTGTCATCGTAATCTGCAACTTCCTTTGTCCTCCCATGGACCTAACATGGCTTTCTGATGCAGCAGCTAAGCTTGAGAATGACCAGCAGTGTATGAAAAGCCTGTAATTAAAGACTTGGAAGTTTTCTTTATTGGCTTTATTTTTTAAATAAGCACATCTTCTGCAACTGTAAACAAACCCTCTCAGTGGCTATTTTTATTAGAAGAAAATCCAGTGTCTCAAATTGTTAAATAGTGCAACTTCTTATATACATTAAATCATGATTGTGTGTGTGTGTGTGTGTGTGTGTGTGTGTGTGTGTGGCCTTGTTATAAAGCATTCCTTCAGAAGATTTTGAATCCATTAAAATGTTTGTGGGATGGCAGGGTGGTAAACAGCCATTTGCTACCAAAGAAAGATTTGTGTTTCATAGGGGCAGACAGAGAGTAATTAAAAAGGCAAATTAGATTTTAATCTTAAGTATAGATTACATAGCACAAAATGCTTATCTCTTATGTTCTTTCTATACAATATAATATTATCATATAATATTTACTGAAAGAGCCAGTCTTTTGGTTTTTCTTGTTTTCTTCTTCCCTGCAGGATACCATCATCTGTGGAAGGGGAACTGACACTTTGGGCCAAAGGAAGATGGCCATGGCCTTCTGTTAGGGTCAGTGAATTCAGAGAGCTAATTGCAAGGGCAGTGGGCAGTGTGCTGCGCTTTGAAGCCCTAAGGAGAAAGCCCCTCTGTTTTAGAACAGTATGCTGTATCTTGGTTATATGAGTACAGTGTATAAAGGAAAGAAAAAGGATCAAGATAAAGATGCCACTGGGAAAGAATACACAGCCATCTGGATAATTAATTCTTTTTGGTTAAATACTTGTGGCTGAGTTATGTTTAGACTACAAACGGAGGGAGGTGATTGCAGAAGACTTTCAGCACAGACACCCCTTATCAGTTATATCAAACAATGTCTTACATGGCATCAACACACTGTGAGAATATAGATTACTCTCCAGGATTCCAGAAGGTACAACCCAGCCAGGATAAGCAGGCCATGATTTCCTTTAGCTGTTTTGTAATCTTAAATCATGCTATTCCACACACTTCAAATTGAGGGCTGGCAAACACAAAAGATGGCCATCAGGATCCTGTTTCACCATTTTGTCAAATTATAGTTCATTTGACTCTGTATCTCAGTTTTTATTTTTAGTGTTTGACTTTATATTGTTTACTTTTTCTATTGTCTTTTTTTTCCCCTCTGAATCATTGCAATTGAGTATAGGTGTAGGAACAGTTCTTGAATGCTTTGGGGGCCTCCCCATATAGGGTAGTAGGATTTCTGGAAGGGCTGAGTGAGACAGGAGGAATCCTTTGAAATAATTTTTGATTTTGGGTCTGGAATTGAAATCTTGAGCTTATATTTAAGCATGTGCAATACCAAAATACTTATCAAGAACTTGGAATAATTTCTCCACTTTAAACCACACTATTTTAGAATGAAAACTTGAGAATTGAATGACAGAGCAGTTAAAAATACATATATAAAACATATATAATGATATATATCATTATATGTAAATGTATAGACATTATATATATATATATGCACCCACATATATACATATGTGTATATTTGTGCTTTATATACACACACATATACACACACTTCCCCTTGATGGATAATATATAAACAAGAAACAAAGTGAAGCAGCTTTGCCTTATGCTTAAAAGTTACCATGCTGAATTTAGTATAATTCAACAAATATTTATAGAACAACTGTATATTAGATGTTAGCAAAGGAGAGAAAATTAGTTGTACAGATTTTTGTCCTTAAGGTGCTTATGTTATAATTTAGGAGACTAGAGAGTAAACTGAAAATGTTATTGTGTGACAAGGTAAACAGCAGATGAGCTAGGACAGCACTACGTCCAGGCTGTTATGCATTGCAGGCGTACATACATGCTGTCCTAGAGGGTTTAAACACGTGCAGAGAATTGTGAAGAAAAAATTTGACCTATGTGTTTGCATTCTGATTTGAGCTGTTTCTTGTGTGTAAATGATCACCAAATTTACACAATAACCTTATAACCCCGAAAGGTTTTTCTTAATTATGTCCTTGACTAGATATCACTTTTCCCTTCCAGTTCCAACATTTTGTTATTCTGTGACTCAAGAAATTTGGTCTTGCTGCTGGCTTTGTGAAGAGCACAAGGTTTAAAGAATAAACAACAACATCCCACTTACTTGCACCCCTACTTTTTGTTGTTGACTTTGGTGAAAGCCCCTCATATATTAGACACAGTTTCAGAAATCTTGTGAATCATTTAACGAATTATTAAATAGTTATTCAACTTTAATTTAATGATAATTACATAAATTAATGATTTCAAAACTGCTGAGGTTTGGTCAAGTCTAAATTATAACAATGTGAATTATAGGCTGTTTTATCTTTTATTTTAGTTAACAAAACCACAGTGGATTAGCCTGCAGGAAATCTGGTCAATTTTCATGATAAATTGACTTGGCCATATAATGCATAATTCAGTTGCACAGCTGTGTACTCTGGTGTGTTCTCTCTGAGGAATGTAGCTTTATTTATAGGTTTGTATTAAGAAAATCTGCTCCACTGTTTCACTTTTATCTCAGAAATGTATAAGCCTGTGCATACTAATTTTTAACATAAAAACAAACTGTATACCTTAGTATCAAATTGCACATATATTTTCTAAAATTCACATGCCAGGTTTTAAAGAATCATGTGAAAGTTCTATGGAAGCTTTTCATATCATTCTTGTAACCCCTTATTTAGAAAAAACCCAATTTTTTATGTTCATAGTTTCAATAAAAATGTTCCTTAGTAGTAGGTATTGATTTTTTTTATTAATGAAGAGGTTGGATGCCATAGGGCTAAGAGTATGAATATTGAAGTCATAGGCTGTAAATATTCCTTTTCTGTTTTCATAATTGCTGAATGCCATAACATGAACAAAACTAATATATAAAATTGTATTTTTTCCTTCATCCCTTATATTCATACAAGGAAATACAGAAATCACTCCATTATGGATCCAATCTCCAATGATGTTACCATCATGGTTTAACTTAGAAACAGACTATATATGCATCAGTAAGGACAAGGGGCTAATGTAAGTCTCAAAGGTACTGAGGTCACCTGAGGCTGGTGACAGTAGATAAAGTGGTCAGTTATGTAGCTGTATAAAAGTTGTTTGATGACAGGATTGATTCTGAGAGCTAAGGTAGGTGTGCTAAGGGTGACTCCTTGAATCTTATTAAAATACACCTTTAAGCCGTGAACAGACCGGGGCATTCTACGAACTGGGAAAGCCCATTGAAATAGTTCTGATGTGGAGAATATCTGTTCCACAGTCATTGAAATAATATTTCTTCTTCAGCCTTCAGCATTGTATGGTTCTTAAGATTTTAGAAGGGAGGCAAAGGAGCATTTCCAGATGTTTCAGAATATTGTTTTTAGGCAGAACTTTTAGCCAGAGTTTTTACTTTGGTTATGCTTACCTTTGAGGAAGTTAAAAAATTTCGATTTAAATAGTAGATATGAAGTCCATCTTGAAATTTGATTATAGGTGAATAGTATGCTCTTCTTAATTTCCTCTTTATAGGACTGGTTGCATAGAATTACACTCCTTAACCAGCTGGTATATTTCAGAGAGAGTGTTGGACACAGGGAGTAAGCTGTCTGCTAAGTACTTCTAATTTCTTACTTCTACTTTATTGTCATTATTCATGGCAATTATCATTATTCATGGTCACTAGAAATAATAAAAAGAGGTGAAAGTGAAATTAATGCTACATTTATTCTTTATTAGGATATTAGAATGATTATTTGATAGAGAGAAATTTGTGTAAATTAAATGTCAGATATGTTTTCAAGATTTTATATTGATGCTTGATATTACATAATCATTTTTCTGAGTGGGAACCAGTTAAGGTTACTGGGAAAACATCAAGTAAATATATATTAAATGCTGCTGAACTATTTTATGCATTTAGCAATATTATAGACAAGGGAGCTGAAACCCAAATTTTGGTGAGTTAAATATTCCTTAAGGCTTATGATACCATTAGAACATAATCTGTGGACTATAGGACTAAATTTCAAAATAGTACTGAAAGTTCAAAGTTCTCAGATGGTTTGATTTTATGAATTCATGATTTTTATATTTATCTAGTATAATTTTAAAATGTAGGTTATTTACTAAAATGTAATTAATAATTTTCAGTACCTCTAATTTAGGCATTTTGATATATACTTCGTTTCTGCCAGTACTCTAAGACTGAGGAAATTGTACAAGATTACTACCGATTCATACAGAAAAACCCGAACTGGAAAATTAACAGCATAGCTGGAAAGACTAATGAAGTTAGTATGCAAAAATGCTTGTAGAGGCTCAAAATCTATCCCTGGACCCCAGAAGTGGCTTTTTAAAAATATATAATCAACGCAGTCATGAAACTTAAGAATCATTTGCTATCACACTGGTGAAATACAATTGTCTGTACGGCAACTTCCACAATTTTTTCCTCACCATTGTCTTTTATCACTCATCATTTCCTTTGGACGAAGTGCCTTTATTATACTCTCTTTAAAAAGACAAGTGGCTAATTGACCCGGTAAGGTAGCTGGCCCGGGTTCGAACTCTGTTATTGAATTCCTATAGTGGGAGTGAAAACAAAAATACTGATGGATGCCCATGTTATGCCTACAATTAACAGAGTAAACATCCTAATAGGCATAGAAGACACAAACAGATGTTCCAATTGCATGTCTGTGAGAAACTGATGTTTACTAGTTCCGCTCTAGCTTGGCCTTTGAGACCTCAGGAAGTTTCCCTCCCAGTGGGGATTTCAGTGATTTATTGATTTCAGCACAATGAATATTTCAGAAACTAGCAGGATTTTTAAGAGGTTAAACACATCCTTACAAAGGTCAGCGTTGATTCATGCTTGAAGGGAATGCTCACTCTGCTTTAACCGGGGTAAGGGCGGTCACAAGTTTGCCATTCCTGCCTTCGTGGGGAGGACCACGGACAGGGGAATGAAAGGGATTTCCCAACAGAGAATGTAGAAATAGAACATCAGCACAGATTTTTTTTCCTTTAAGCAGAACAAAAATGAGGGAGGTATGAATAACTGCGAACTCCTAAAAATTCCTGGTTGAAACACCAATTGGTTTTGTTCAAAACAGTGAAGATGAATTTTAGGCTTGTATTTGAGACACTCAAAACTGAGTAATGTAATAAGCCTCAGAAATTCGAAAGAGTTTTAAATGCTGAAAATATATCTATTCCTTCTGTATTAAATTTACAAATATATTCTGATGTAGTTAGTTGGCCAGGGTTTACCAGAAACAGTCTAAATAAAGCAATTGATGAGTATTTTGTGTTCTGTGCTTTCTTTCTTCTTAGGCACACTCATGGGTATTAATAAACTGATATGTCCTCATTAGTATTAATAATGATACTCAATACTTATCGAGAATTTACTTAATGCCAGGTACTGTGTAAATGCTTTAAACAAATTATCTCATTAGAAGAATGCCATTACATCAGAAGATTAAGTATGAAATCACAGCTGTTATTTTGCAATAAATGCAAACAATATTTATTTTCTTCTTAGCTTCTCTTTTAGGTTGTGTTCAGCCTCAGAAGCATAAGATCTGGCTAAGTATTTTCTTCTTTCAATTAAAAACAATAGCAGATAAGAATCCTGCGCTAGAACAGGCCTTCTACTTGAGTATTTTATGTCTGTAGACCAGCTGGATACACGTGGCTGTTGGGTACCTGAAACATAGCTGGTCTGAACTGAAGACTTTGGATGCAGGAAAGAATTTAAAATATTGCCTTAATATTTGTGTATTGACTACATGTGAAAATAGTAGTATTTTAGACATCAGGGTTAAATAAAGTATATCAGTAAAATTAATCTGTTTCTTTTACTTTTTTTCCCTTAATGTAACTACTAGAGAGTTAAAATTTTGATAACCAATTATTTACCTGGTGGACACTGTAAAGTTTCTCATATCTTGGGATCAGATTGTATATCACCAACTTCATTTCCTGTCTGCACTGATTTTTTGCATGGTTCCTGCTTTTGACCATAGCAATCATAGAAAGCCCAGCTTCACAAAGATATGACATCATCCAAAAATGTAGTGTGATCTAACATTGAAACTGTATGCTCCTTTGAACTAGCAGGTCTTGTGGTGTCTACTATATGTGGAGTACTGCAAAGATTTCCTCCAACGTTTAAAATATCCAGTGACATTTCTGTCTTAATTGAGGTTCCCCAGTGTGTTCTGGCACACAGTTTGAGAACCACGAACATATACTGTTGGAAACTTAACAATTTTTTCTTTAGTACTTATATCTCAGTAGGGTTATGAATTCTAAACGTTATCAGAATACATAACCTGATTCACCTTTATACTCACTTATCTATTCATTTAGGCATCAGTTTTGTCCTTCAGATTTTATCTAAAATGTGCAAAAACATTGAAGGCTGAGTGCTGGTGGTACATTGGGGAGAGCACAGTCAAATAAATCACTGTCTCATGGAGTTTGCATTCTAGTAAATAGAAACTAAGAAACATTAAAAAAATTCCAAATACACAAATAAACAAGGCAATCCTGAATCAACATAGATGATGTAGACAACAAGCGATGCTACAGAGCTGGGGTGGGAGTGGGGGGTGGTACTTTAGAGGGGGTGGCCAGAGAAGACCTCTCCCAGAGAACATTTGAACAGTCACCTAGCACACAGGGAGCCAACTGGGAAGGTAATCTGAAAAGAGATTTCTGGAAGAAGCAACATGAAGGAGCTTGAAAATGAAAATAATGGGGTGCTTGGAGAGCATAAAGGAGACCTTGGCTGCATAAGGAGAAGGCTGATGTGTGAAGCTGAGGGTGTTGTCAGGAGCCAGATCACACAAGGCTTTATATGCTGTAGTCATTAGTTTCAACTTTTGTTTTCCAATATCAGGCTTAAACCACCTAGCACAAGGCTATGCATCTAATAGGGGCCAAGTTAAAGGGTTTCTTTAAAAAATTAATGTGAATATGCAAATAATAGAGGCCTAAAATGGATACAGGTTCCAGGTTTTTAAGAAATAAGACTGAAAAATCTGGGGCACAAAGAATTTTATCTTGTCATTCAGGCCCAGAATATGCCTGTCAGGTCCTTTTGGCCTTCACTGCTAAGAGTCAGAATTATTTTTCTAGTTCGAAACCCTTCCTGCTTTGAGGTTGGTCATTTTGTTTCCCACCAATTAGTTCCCTTTTTGACCTTCAATTTCTACTTTAGGCTTAGATTAAAGTTACCATTTCTGACAATCCAAGCAGTGTGTTGCTTCTGGTTGCTGGTGTCTATTGAATTAAAATTTTCTTTTTATATCCACTTCCTACTCAGTTTTCTAAATTTCTTTGTGATCTGTTTCATCTTTTATTCTTTCATGAAGGGACTTGTCTTACTCCAGGGCAGATAAATGGTCAGTTTTTATTTTCTCACTTGTGATTCATCATGTCTATGTGGTTGAGGTGGTGGGGTTTGGGAGGTTCCGTCTAAGGACTAAAATCCTGTCTGGGAATTACCCAGATTCAACAGTTGCCTCCAGGTCCACCCCCAGCAAGGTCATTCCAGAGCTCGTGAAACAGAAAGACAGACAAATTGCACTTGAATTTCAAAGTTCATTTAATAAACTGCCAGTATCCAGAGATAGCAAAGGGGAGGGGACTGAGGATGACTGACACGTGCAGACTAGGGAGCAAGCAGGTGACAGGCTCATCCTTCCCAAAGCCTAGGTGATGCCATGTGCACAGCTGACCTTCCTGCTGCTGGTGTGGTTGGAAGAAGCAGGTGTAGTAGCCAGAATAGCCTCCAAAGGTGGTCATGCTCTTGTGTTACAGACTTCGAGATGGGGAGATTATTCTGGATTCCCCAGATGAACCTAATCTAATCATGTGTGTACTTAAATACTGGAGAACATTTCCTGGCTGCAGTCAGAGACAGATGTGAGGATGAATGGAGGGTCAGAAAGATGTGATATTTATTGCTGACTTTGAAAGAAGAGACCATTAGCTAAGGAAAGTCAGTAGCCTCTAGGAGCTAGAAAAAGTGAGGAAATGGATTCTCCTCTGGAGCTTTCAGAGAGGAATGCAGCCCAGCTGACACCTTGATTTTTGCCCAGTGAAATCATGTCAGGGTTATCCTACCATGCTATAAGATAATATATTTGCATTGTTATAAGCCACTAAGTTTGTGGCAATTTGTTATGGCAGCAATAGGAAACTAATACAGTAAGTGAAGCTGGGTGCTTTACAGGTGAAAGGTGACATAAGCCAACACTCGCTTTTCTATCAGATATGCAAGAGCAAGGGTGCTGGCTGGCCAGCCTCCGGCCACAGATGTGGCTGTTGCTCAGCTATAGCTTTTATCTTCATTCTGCAAGCAGAGCACAGAACTGGTGGCACCTGAGATACCATAGCTGTCGATTTAAGGTGGCATGTGCTGCACCTTATGAATATTTAAGGTTTTCTTAGTCTTCCTGCTTGTATATCTGAAGATAACACTCTCATTGTGTCTATATTAAACACCATATATTCTATTTAGTCAGTCCATGTTTAATGTGCTTTACTGACTGACTGACTCTGGCATTTATGACCTTTTTTCCATGGCATTTTGTCCTGGTTTCTATTGGAGAACTGAATACTCTTACACACTGCAGCAAACACGTATTAAGAATTCCACAGAAGGCAATCTTTCACAGATGTGAATAAGCTGTAGGTGTTCAGCTGTGTGCCTTCTGTTGACTATGTTCAAGGATGATTTGCTACCTTGATAAGCCTCACCTTTGCCTCATCCCCCAGTGGACCTGAGGTGCTGTCTTGAGAATTTTCCAGCTCTTCAGGATACATAGACTCAAAATAGATGTGAAGGCTTTTCCAGTTGAGGATTTGTGAATTCTCTGTTTACAGTCTGAAAATGAAGTAAACTATTTAGTTATGCTAATACATTGGTGCGGGATTTGTGTGGTGTGCGAGGACAGACAGTAGTATCTGGAAACCTTTGTCATGCAGCTAATGGACTGAGGGAAGAAATCAATTTGCACACTTAAGGGATCGTGTTCTATCATGATTGTAAGAGAAGTAAAAGTTTGACTATATTTGGCTTTTGTTTCAAGTTTTAAATATGAAAAAATAAACAGTAGGTTATTATGTTTTCAAAATAAAGGCAGATCAAGGAGGCTATTGTCTTGCTTAACTAGTTCAGAAAAATGTGGCTTTTGATAAAATTTTAAACTCAGAATGAGAGACCAGGCTCCTTTGACTATGTGTGCATAAACACTGCTAAAAGTGATTGGGTTTCTTTTTGCCTTCCTCATTTTGAAGTTGTTTATGGTGGCTGGAGATGTCTGAAAGATGAAATTTTCCTAATGTGGAAAATCAGTTAATGTTCTCTTGAATCAAAATATTTGTGGTAATACAGGTGAAACCAGGTTTCTTGTTTCAGGTATCTTGGTCAGAGGGAAGTACAGCCCATTTCTAAAGGGTAAGAATCACTTTGTGTAGCTGAATTTAGTTAATTGATTCCATATTTTCATTTAGATGCTTTTTCTTCTCAATTTGTATTTGAAGAGTGAGAAGCCATTAATAACAGTTATCTTAATAGTTTTATATCCTAATACAGATATCAATGGCATAGTAGGCTCTCCTCAATTAAATAGGAACGATTAAATAAGTCAACTTTTTTTTTTCTAAAAGTAAGTTTCTGTCCAGTTTTCTTAAAGAATTGATCAGAGGCCAATATAATAAACTTATTTTCCTTGGGCTGGAAAGGTTCAGTTAAACTATTCCATTTCATAGGAAGAAAGCAGTTTTAAGCAAATGTTATAATAATTGAACTGGAAAAGTATTAGTTTGATTCAGATTTACCAGGATCAGCCAAGTGGCTGTTAGTTGCTAGTCCATTACAATGGATGCTTACCATTGCGATTACAACTCATATCATCATTAGGCTGTAATTTTCTTGGAAATTAGTCTTCAGGGAATTAAATAAAGACCGTTGTAGTAATTAGCCCATGAAGGTGTTAAAATTATCTTATGGACCATTAGTTACACTTTGATGTTTCCTGCATCTATTAAATAAATCAAGATTTAGGCAGCAGGGAAAAATAATCCTTATAATGGAGATGTTATTGCTACTGAGAATTACAAAAGATGATGAAAAATAGTAATAAACTTATTCAATAATGGTAATAACATAAAATCTGAGAATTATTTTAAAATGTCATTGAAGACTTTGTAGTAAGAGATGGTATGGGAAACAGGCAGGAACAGACTGCATTTCACCCATGGTAAAGTCAGTGATACAGTCTGCCTGTGCACATAGCCCCCACTCCAAATAAACAACCCTCATAGCCAAATATAGTACAAATATCTTTCACGTCACTATTAAGTTAGAGACTAGCTAGAACGTTTTTGGAGTATGAGAACCTTAGTATTAGGCCTCAAATTTAGAATTCTAAAATTTAGAATTTACCGCTAGTTTTTCCATTTAAAAAATAACCAGAAAGTGTTATCTTGCCTACAGCAACTGTGTCTTAAACTGGGTTGAGTAGAACCCACATAAAGGGCTAAAGATGTGACTCTTACCTTGGGAGTAGTGAGGACTATTGCCAGCAATCCACAAGGCTTCTTCCTCTCACCTTGGTTTGGGTGGACGGACAAAGGTGGGAGCTGGGGGTCTCTGGGGCCTTAGGGAGAGAGTGGGAAAATAGGAACCAAGTCATAGCGCTTCCATGCTTCACTGTTTCTTGCATCTGTTCCATGCTCCTAGTACATGTTGTATGGATGAATCCAGAATCATCTCACTCCTGTTCACTTCCTAATACGCACAACATCAGACTCTTTTCCTTAGGGAAGCTGCAAGATTATCTTTCTCTTGTTCCAAAAGTATTTTCAATGACTCTTTACATTGTACTGAATTGATTTAAATGATTAAGTTGGCTTCTGGCATTTAAGTCTTCTGTAGTAATATTTTTTTACCCCTAATTTCCAGTCATCATGCCCTTGAAGTGTACTCTCCAGTCTTTTTCATATGTGAAGGGAGTGAGACAGCAGAAAATCCTCAGCCAACACAAATGCACTGGCTTTACGACTGATATGACATCAGTGTGGGGCTACGTGAAACTGACTTTCCATCCAAGGTTTTAGTGAATTTGCATGTGGTGTTATTAATGTTAATTCTATAATGTGCTGTCTCAATTTACTAGTTGTGCTTACATCACGTATGTATGCAGATACTCTATTTGGACTGTCCATTATGGGTGTTAGTACTATGGAAAAGCTCCCAGGGGACCCACTGCAATTGCCCAACAGATAACTCTTGATTCCTGCTTCTTCCTCATATTTTGGATGGTTCCATGATGTCTTAAAAATCCAAGGGTCTGAAAAGTGTCTTAACTCTATTAAGCAAAACTACTCTTTGGGGAGAGAGGAAGTGGTTAGCCAGAGCTACACTTGCAGAAGTTTTACTTCTGGTAAAGAGCCACCAACTATCTAAATAGGATCTCATAGAGCCTGATAAAAAGGCAGTTAAACTCCTTATGTTATAATACTGTCACTCTGTGCTGTGTGGTCTTGAGCAATCTCTGAATCTTAGCTTCTATCTCTGAAAAAGAAAGTAGAAACCAGGATTAAAGAGATGTTTAAATATAAATATTTGAATACCTAACTAAAAAGAATGTTTTCAGTAGGTTTTGTTTTTTGTTTTTTTGAGAACTGGCTTAAGTCAAATCCAGGGAATGAGAAGTAGCATGGGTGAAGGAATTTGTATTTTGGCAGATTTGAAGACAGATGTTGATGATGGAGTCCCATTAAAAGAATTATAAAAGCTTACTTTATGTAGATTCACAAATACCTTGTAATTATTTAATTCTAGTTCAACATTTTCATAGTTTGGGGGAAGCAGAATAGAAAATTTAGTGACAACCAAGATTAAAGAATGGAGGTTATGAAAGTGCAAATATCACTTCTCTCATTCTAAAAATAAGTTGAAGATATCTTTTAAATGTTATCTACCTGATAGGGACTGTCTGATAAATAATGCTTTAATGCAAATACTCATAGTTTTTATATAGATAAATTATAGAAGATAGCCTTTGTTTTGAGGTGTTCAGAAACATAACTTACTGTTTTTTTTAAACTAGCAGATCTTCCAGCAGAAATATAAGTATTTATTTAGCAACTGCTAGACACTTTGTATGACACCAGGTGCTGTGGAAGATAGAAACTTTAAAACATAACAAATATAATATAGTAAAAAGGGCAATCTAAACCCCAGTTCTTGAGAAAACAGCCTGTGGTGAAGTTTACCTACTAATATTTTCTTGGAGGAACACAAGTTCGAGGGAAGCAAGGAGGAGGGAAAAATAGAGAAGAGTCCGAGAAAGAGGGAAAGTAAATACAAATGTTACATTGCTGAGCTGGCCAGAGCTTAACAAGAAAAGACTGCATGAACAGGGTGTCTCTGGGGAAACAGTACGGGACACTGTGTGCTGAAAGAGCTGCAAGAGAAGGTAAAGCTGAGAATTTGTTCACTAACTGCTCTTCTTTCCCCCTCTCCCTCTCTTTTCTTCTTTCTTTTGAATTCCTTGCACTTCCAGGATCTGCTCTCCTGCTCCTTGCGCAGCCCCAACTCAGCCGGAGTCTCCATGCACCCCATAGGGTAGGGCTTAGTGCTGGGGTCATTTGGCTCTGACTGTCCAGGTGTGGAGGAAGCAGTGCTGCTGGGAATGAGGTGATGCTGAGGCGAGGTGTCTGGGCTTTCAACTCAAGGGGGAGCCGGGCACGTGGGGGCGGGAGGTGGGGAACAGGGGACAGTTGAGAAGGGTCTGATCCGGGAAGGTGTGCAGTGCGTAAACTGGGCCTGGTGGTACAAATAGTATCTGCTATTGGATGATCACTTTAAAAGAGTGTCTTGGGTGTTCATGAAAACTGAGAGCTCACAGGCTCTTTGGAATTGTTTTTGAACCTTTATTTTAAGAATGAGGAGGAAACAAACATTGAAAGTATGTTTGCGTTATGCCAAGACTAATTTTTTTTTAAAGAAAGTGGGAATAAACACTGGATACTTAAACTTTGCAGTGGAGAATAAAACATATTCAAAAAGAAACTAAGACACTTGGGAAGGAAGATGAAGGTTCATATGTGTAGTATACTAAAATGGATTTAATCACGTTTAAATGTATAAAGATTTGTACAAACCGTTAGCCAGGTTTATATCTTATATTTCAGGATTCTGGTGTCATTTATTACTTTGATGATCACTCTTATGACATACAAGAGGAAAACACAAAATAAATGAAAAATAAACCCCTAGTTTTCAGGCATGATTAGTGAACAAAAACAGCTAACTTTTGTTCAGGTTTCTGATTTATTTATATAATTCTCTACTTCATGGAAAAAACATTTTGATGACTTTCTTATTGCTTGAAAGGATAGAAAAGCATAAATAGATTTTTTTTGTCTTGCCAGAAAATTTTGTATTTTATCCTCTCAGATAGTGCTTTCTCAAGGATAATGCATCATTTGATGTTGAAATATGTGCCAAGATCTGTATAAAAAAGCATTTTGTGTAGATAAATAAGAAGTAATTCACTCTTTCAGGAAAACCCGTGGAGCTGGTCGCTAATGCCAAGCGGAGTAGAAAGGCTGTGATTTTGTCAGCTGTGCTCCTGATGCAGTGGCCTTGCAGGCCGAGGCAGGGTTGGCCTGAACGGGGAGCACGTGCAGCAGCCTGACATCACTGGCTTTAGATCATAGCATAATTCTCTCCCTGTAGTGAGTTTTGAGTAATAATTATTTATCTAATTATCTGTGTTTTCTGTTTCTCAGGGAATTCTGCTTTCTTGGACATTGTTTAAATTCTCTGTAGGATTACCTTTACCAAGTTGGAGACTGAAGGTCAGGGGTCCTTAACTACTTTTCTGCCACCATAACATTCACATGAGGGACATACACTGGGGTGAAGGAGAAGGTGACATGGGTCCCTTGGAGTAGCAACTTAGAGTCTTGGAACTGCCTTCCTTACTTGACAAATCTTCCTTGAGATTGTGGTGCCTTCCTTTCAACCCCTCCCAAATGAGCATGTTTGTTGTAAAAAGTCAAAGAAATTCCTCAGTGTTGTGTTTCATAATCTGCCAGTTCTGAACATAAGAAATTAAATGTCTCTGACGCTTTCAAATACACAAAACAAAGACTGTATGTAACTTCTATACTGCTGGAGCAGACTGATTGTTGAATAGTCTTTCATAAAGGTTTGTCTCATTCTGAAATGGCACTTTAGCCATTCTCAACCAATCACCTTGTTGTCTTTATTAGGTTCTCAATGACTGAGCCCTCTTAGCATTCTTGTAGCTCAGTATTCTCAGTCAGTGGTCCAAGTGCTTCTATCGTTAGTAGAACTTCTGAAATATTAATGAAGTAAGCGTTACCCCAGTGTGTGTAAGCAAGATATTTTGCAATCTCTAAAAACTCATTAGCACTGCTAATACTTGTGTTTTTGAAAGAAATTCTCAATATTGTTTACTTTCATTGTACATATAATGCCCACAAGTATGGACGTCCATCATCTAATTTGTTACCAGAAATATCAAACATCTTTTTTGACTCCATGTTAGGCCCAGACATATAAAGATAACTAAGTTAAAACCAAAAAGGATGCAGAAAGTCTACAGGAAACAAGAAGAACCAAAATAAGATAAAGCATGATCATCTATTAAGATAGGGGCAGAGTTGTAATCACATCATTAGATCTTGAGGGTATTATTATTATTTTTTTTTTTAATTTGTGGTTTTTTTTTTTAGATAATTATTTTTTATTGAAGGGTAGATGACACACAGTATTACATTAGTTTCAGGTGTACAACACAGTGATTCAACATTTATATACATGATAATTCTAGGTACCAGCTATCACCATACCAAGTTGTTACAATATTTTGACTATATTCCTTATGCTATACATTTCATCCCGGTTACTTATTTATTTTA